GCTTATGCATGGCTAAGAAGCTTAGTTATCGCTGTACTTTATTGGGGCCACATACTTCCTTAGGTGTCTAGCAACCCATTGTAGGTAGCACTGGAATGGCTCAGCTTTGTAATTTTTTTTCTTGTCCCTCCTTGCTTCTGTTCCCCTAATGGGGATGAGAGAAGGTTTCAGAAAGGTTACGGATGTGTTCTGCAGAGGTTACCTCCTCTGGTCGGATCAAATCAACGCTTTTTTTTAAACAAGATTGCTTAAGGAGGGTTCAGTGATAGTGCTATTCTAATAACAGCACTGAAGCTTTTATTCTGGCTATGGGATGTACAGATGGAAAACAAGGAAGGAAATGACAGATCTGTGCTTAGGGCTTTGTCTGGTCAGTTGCAGGCATGTGAGAATGGAGCTTGTGGTGGAAGCCAGTAATATGTTTTTAATCAGGATAAAGCTATTTTCATAACAAGCCTTTCATCTTCACAAAGATTTACTTCCTCGCTTCATAAGTGAAGTTCTTGTCCTGAACAAAGTACCTGCTATACCAAAGCTCAGTCTGGTTCATCCAAGTACCCGTAAATGCCCAAAGTTTGGCTGAAAGCAGCCCAGCTATGGCCACAGGCTGAGTCTACCTGGCAGGAATGGTTCTCTTGCACTGGCCGCTAGAGCAGCTGCATGGAGGTGCTTGCTTGGGCTTCAGTGCTGCTCTGCGAAGATTTGCAAGACAGGGATGCTTCGGATGGGCAATCTGTTCTTCCAACCGAATCACTTGTCTCATGGGCAGAGGGTTGGCTTTGGACTGTACTGTCAGGGGCCAGGCTCTCCTAACCAGAGAACAGGGATATTCTGCTAGGTGGATTTTTTCACACCACAGGGTGTATATTGCTTCACCTTTGCCACGTCTGCATGGGTGCCTTTACCCATTACCTTGGACAAGGTAAAGAAATAGAGGTGGGGAGTTCCTTGGGTTTAGAGGTCCTGAGCGAAACTAGTAATTTAACTGCCTGACCGAAGCTTAACAAGCCTGGCCAAGCTTTCTTGAATTTTATATTTATACACTTGAATGACACACCTGTAACTTGAACTCTGGAAGAGGCAGACCCAGGAGAGGAACCAAGGCCTGCCTTCGCTGCAATTCCAGATAGCCACTTCAAGTGACTCTGAGCCTATTGCTTCCCCGCTGAGTGGTAACATGAGGAGGGTTCGGCGGGATGGGATTGAAGTCCCTTACTAAAATTGAACCCGGCTTATTTAGTTTATATATGTTTATTTATAACCATCTGTGAAGCGAGAATGCAAGTAATTGCTTGAAAAGGGGTTGAAAGCCACTGACTTTGGAGGGTAGGACATAATTCTGCTAGTGGAGTAGTAAGTTGCTTCTAAACTTTTAACATTCAACCTGGTCAATTTGTACCGGAGGGAGTTTTGAGCAGTTAAAGCTGCTTCCTGAAATAAAACTTGAAACCCTGAGCTACTCGCTGGGTGTCTC